GCGCCCGCCGATCCCCCACCTTTCTCCGGACCTGAGACTCCTTCTGCCAGAAGCATATTGTCTAGTCTCATTAGCTGGGGATCGGGAGGGTCTTCCTCCTGGGCTCCTCGGATGCTCAAACCTTGGGCAGAAAAGAGAGAACAAGAGAAAACACAGTCAGTATTTCTTGCATCTGCCCGGCCGCTGCCCGCTTGCTGCACGCTTGCAAGGAGCCCTCCTGCCCCGCAGGGCCACGGGGACTGGACCTGCCCCAGCCCTTCCTCCATCCCTGCGGTGGTACCCAAACGGGCACCCTCCTCCGGGGCAGGTCCCATGAATCGCAGCCCAGGCAGGTGCCACGGGGCGATGGCAGTGCTGTAGGACCCTCTCAATTCCGATACAGAGCAGGAACATCTTCAGGAGGTTTTTAAAGGACCCTGCAGAATTTTTAAATACCTCACTGTCAGTATTAAAGGAGTACTTGCACGAGTACAGAGACATGCACCTTCCAGTTGTTTTCCAAGACATAGCTAAATCTATGCAAGGCTGGCACTGTCCTATACGTTAGATCACTTTGGTGCAAGACCATGTGGTATAAGTAAGTGTGTTACTTATTTGGAAATAATTGATTTGCTTCTCATTTCCCTCCAAATGGATCTAAGCACCACGTTACTCTATGGAGACTTGCACCACTGGATTCCATCCCTCCCACGAGGTCCAAGCGCTGGATGTTTAAATGCCTGGGGAAAAAGCTGCCACTTGCTCCTCAACCATGGGGGACCTCAGGTGAAAAGCAGGGAGGTGCTGCAGCTCTCACCGGCACAAATCCCGTGGACGCAGCCATTTCCAGGCATGCCCGCGGTCTCTGGCTCCACACGGGTGGAGCTGAAATTTTGCATCGGAGGAGGGAAATGGTGGAGACAGAACTGGGAGCATCGTCTCAGGAATAGCCACTGCGGGAGCGGGGTCCGGCGGCCCCTCGCTCAGGGCTGCCTCGCTCTGCTGCAGGGGAGCACGCCGCTCCACAGCATCTGCTCGCAAGGGTGAAGATAGACAAGAAGGAATTAAACTCCCCCTTGCCGTGCAGGGATTTGGTTTCTATCGTGATGCCAGGATACTGAGTATGTGTTCAAAACCGCCAGTGTTCTTGAACTGTATTGTTGGGAACAACATTTTAAATCTAATTTTTGTTTTAAATCAAGAATTTCCAAAGCAATGCTCAGTCAGCAATCTTTTCCGTGTCCGATAGATCAAGGCTGGCAATTTGTAAGTTTAATCAGGTCATGCAGGCATGGTGCCAAGCTATTATCAACATTGCCGAAAAAAAAGTTTAAAAATAATTACAGTAGTACAAAAATCACTAGAGCCGTGGCTTCTTGAATCAACATTTCCATTAGAGATGTAACGCAACCATGTACATCCCAGCCCAATTAACCTCTTTAAATCTGTTCAAGAGCAGGTATTCGTGCTCTGGATAGAGCGGGTCCCGGGGGTCTGCCATTGGCACCCGGCATGTTTGCGTGGGCGTTGTGCCTGTCTCCGCTCCTCGCAGCGGTGCAGGCTCCGAACGGGCTGCACCAGACGGGCCAGCACCATCCACAGCTGCCATGCACCAGCAACGCTGCTTTCTGCGCTGGCCGGGAACAGCAGCTGCTCCCACACAAGCAGATTTCACCCTTGGTGTCCTAAACCCCACGCACAGTGGGAGATGACCCCTGGCTGGCCAACTCAAGAAAGCACAGCATTAATTTTGCTCTAAAATACACATTTTAAACCTGTCACCTTCATTTAAAACTATAATTCCATATAATTTCATGGGAATAATAAAAATGTCTCATCAGCTCTTTAAATTATTTCTGTTGCCTGTTCAGAGGTCCACAGATGAGCACAGTTTGACAATAACACGCATCGTCCCGGCACGTCCCCGGGTTGGCACACGCGTGCTGGGGACAGCCCTGGCATGGCTCCGGCCACCCGTGCTGCTGCCTGAGCACGTGGCCAGGGAGAGCGATGCTGCGCTCGGGGGTCCCCGCGGCAGGAGAGGGGGGGTCCCCGGCCGAGAGAGCCCTGTGCCCACCCCAGCTGCGGCGGAGCCGGCATGCCTGCGTCAGGACCGCTCTGTCCCTCACCCCCTCGTTCCCCTTGGACTCACTGCCCTTGGTCTTGCACAACTCCTGGCCCGTGCGGTGCTGCTAACACAGGGATGATTTTTCTGTATTGTTTTGGCGAGCCGTTCCTCCTGTTTATCCGACTCCTCCTCTGCTCTGGTGTCAGTATGTTTAATCATGTTCTGGTTTTAATCCACTCCAGCTCCCGTTCCCCTCTCGTGAATGATTTCTACTGTTGTTTATTCTTTCTGCTTCTGGACTGTTTCTCAGTCCATGTTTCCTGTGCTCCATTCCAGCTGTTTTTCCCCAGCTGCATTTCTGCCATGAAACGCATCCACCCTCCCAGTATCACAGCAGCAGTCCCACTCCGCTTCCCTGATGCTGCGAGACGCCAGGCCAAAATTTGCAGTAGAATAATTTGGTACAATTGCTGTGATTTTTGCATCATTTACTTCCACAAAAAGGCCAAAGATTACAGGGCTTTGTCCAAAATGACACTATCCATCCAGACTTAAATTAATATTCAAAATCCCCAACCCTTCTCGTATAAATCTGACAAAGGACAGCAAGCGTTCCCCAAGGTTTAAATGCAAAAGCTGATGTCTGCACTGGAGACTGAAGGAGCTGGTGAGAGGCCCTGAAGCAGAAGAGGAAGAAATTCAGCAGATAAGGACAATGACGAAGCCGCTAAGGTATCTCGCGTGCAACCCTAATGCACATCTCTGGAGCTGGTGACAGAGGGGTTGGCATATTGTGTTCATCTTAATATTAAGTAACACTCCCGCATCCAAAGCATCCAGTCCAGAGTGCGCGAGCCTGCAGACAACCCACAGACAAAGGAATGACAAAGTGTGTGTGTGGGGATGTAACATTTATTTTGCCCCTGAGTGAGACGCATCATTCATTTGAATGGCAAAGCCACAAGTTGATTAACTGATTCTAACAAGAATTAAGCTGTGTGTTAATTCAGATCTTTCCTTATGAACTATACGAAGCAGATCAGCACAACTAATAGGGTCTGGTGTCCCTGGGGGCAGGGGACAGTAAAACTGATGAACTCCTCTGCGATCAGTGAAACACGCAGCTCTTCGGCAAGTTGCAGCGGCTGCCTCGGCTGCAGGTCCAACGCTTTCGGTGTTGTCTGGGAAGGAGTCAGAGCATCTCCCAGGCTCCTCAGCAGGGAGGAACACTCTCGCTATCTGCTGGCAATACGTTCGCTCCTACCAGCACCTGCCTTTATAAATTACACTTGGTTTGAATACAGTGATAATATATGTATTTTTTGACATATAAGCTCACATGCAGTGGCTATTGTTTCCCTTTTTTATTCCTCAGTATATCAACCTATGAGTTTATTACTGTTTAGCTCACTGACCTTTCAATGCATCGTGGAATTAAGGTGCAGAGCGGACAGGAAAGAACACAACAATACATCACTTCCAGCGGAGCCACCGGCACGCTAATGGCAGCGGAAGTGAGAGGGCCCCGACGCGGCAGCGACCGCCCGGCGGCACGCTGAACCCCCCCATCAATAACCTGCTTGGAGGGACGGGACCGCCTCGTATGAGTGCGGCCGCGGTCCACGATTGATCACTAATGGCTTACGGGCATTTGGGTCTGCACAGTACGTAAAATCCAGCATCCTTGGTGACAATAGCATGTTACAAGTTAATAAAAAGCATGTGTGTTGCTGATTTTAATCTGCTTATAACTACAACGTTCATTTCGGTATCTCGATGATTTAGACAAATCATATAAACAGACACTAAAACATTGTTTAACAATGAACTTGGCTTTGTTATAAGACCACAGTTTTAGCATATCTTTCAGCAAATCCTAATTAGCTGTCTTTCAACATGCTGTGCACCTGCCCCCACACATAATAGACGAGAGCATCTGCATAGACTACTGCATTCAGAGGCCAATAAATAAATTGCAGGTCAAAATTATTACAAAGCTTTCTTCGAATAAACCCATCTCCTTCACAATACAAAGCTGCAGATATGAAAAGTACCTAAAGCCCACTCAAATGGTATGATTACAGGGGCCGTTGGAGTTTAATAATCTGACTGTAATTCAGGCATTTTCAACAGCTCATTAAGGGTTCATTAATATATGGGCAAGCTTTTGAATTATAAATAAGCAG